GCCTCTATCTAGTCCACTGGGCTTCAAGAAGAGTTGATTCAACAGTAAAATCTGGGAGGTGTCACATCCCAAGCCAGAGGAAACCTGATAAGTCTGGGGCTGGTGGCTTTGCATTGCCACTTGGCAGAGGAAGTGCTGGAGGCAAGTGACTTCCCTTCTGCACAGATCCCTACCTCCCCACCCCAGCCCTCAGGATTATTCTGACTTTGACACTGAGCATTAGTTGCCATTGATCCCATGCTTATTATTAACTTTCACATAAAGAAGTTTTTCTCTTTCCTGAACCTCTCCCAAAAGTATAGGAATAAAAGGGAGCCCTTTACGTCTGCTTGTTGCAAGGAAACGGGATGATCGTATTTTTTTGTCAAAGTGTTTAATATGTAATACCTCATGTCTTCCACTTAGCTTAAAAGCCCCATTCCGTTGGCCACTGGAATGATCTGTGCTTTAGAGGATGAAAACTACCATTCTAGAAATGGTACTTCAGGGAGATACCCAAACAGCATGGAAACATTTTTACTATTCTCGTCTAACCTAAACATGCACATGCCATTTAATTTTTCCAGGCTTTAGAGTTTTCTTGCATAAAATGAAAATGGTAGCATAAGTTATATCTAAGATACTTCTCAGTGTAAAAATGCCATACTTTTAAAGTTTTCCTTCTTAAGAGAAAGCTGCCATGACATTATCTTCACAAATAAGTGCCATATTAAACGCAATCATCATTTTTTTTCCCCTGTAGGCTGAGCAGATTTCAGTGACTGCATTCGTTGTTTGTCAGGTTAGAGCTGTATTTTGTGGATGTGGTAGCTTCAGTATGAGCATTCTGCTCAGATTCACTATGTGCCTTCAAAATACTATTATCAAGAAATAAGAAATGCTGGCAGTGCTGTGGGGCGAAAGGAACCCTTCTTCATTGCTGGTAGGAGTGTAGGCCGGTGCAACCACTATGGAAATCAGTGTGGTGATTCCGCAAAAAAAATTAAACTAGAGGTTCCATTTGACACAGCTATTCCCCTTCTTGGTATCTTTCCCCCCCCAGATTAAAAGCATCATACCACAGTGATATTTACACACCCATGTTTGTAGCAGCATAGTTTGCAATAGCTAAATCTTGGAAACAGCCCCAGTGTACATCAATCCCTGAATGGATAAAGAAGATGTGGAGGGTTTTTATAAAACAAGAGTACTGCTCAGTTATTGAGAAGGATAAGCTTAAGACATTTCTAGCTAAATGAATGCACCTTGAGTCCATACTCTTAAGAGAAATAAATTAAACACATGGAAATATCACATTGTTTCTCTGGTGTGAGAAACAAAAAATTTAAAGAAGGACCAGAATCAATAAGAGATACTGTGAAATAGGAAGAAAATGTTGAAATGGGAAGGGGAACTAAGAAAGGAGGGGGGGGGGGAGAAAAAAAGAAAAGAGTGAAAAATGGCAAGAAAGCTTTTGTAAATAAGGAGGGTAAGAAGTATGGGAAGGAGGGAAAGGAAATGAGAGAAAAAGAACCGATATGTGCAGGTACAAATCCCCGTAAAAAATGCGTTTGCATCATGCATCTGTATCTTTGAATTGATGAGGTCATGGCATTAGCAAGCCTTCATCAGATAACAGTGCTTCAATTCCTTGCTGCTAATAACAGCTAAAGCACTACCACTTGGTAAATGCGGAGTCAACAGGTTCAGGCATATTGTCAGAGAAAAGATCATCTCATTCCCCTACATCCTGATATGATCATTAAATGGGAAACCAAAGGAGTCACAGGCTACCATCTGTCTCCATCACAAATACACATACGACTGAGGCCATTGTTCATTGAATTTTTAAAATACTGGCTTTTAGCTTCTGCATGCAGATAGTCTGAACTAATCCGGTGCACAGCCTACAAAGAGCAGTTTTAAAGTACCTCAGATTCAGGTGTGAAAAATACCGTTCTCATAAAAATAAATTAATTTCTACCTTCTGAGCGCTGGCTGCATAGCTAGACAAAAGACTGAAAAGATAATAGAGCAAGAGCAACTTAGTACTCTAACTTATCTTAGTAGTGTCTCCTTTTTATTTAGAATATAATATATTTGATAGTATCATATCCTATGCTCAACACTGAGTAATAGAAAAGTTTCTGAAACATTGTACAACATTATTTTGAATCTTTTGTGATTGTTTTCTAATATAAGCTAAGGAGTTTCAGATTAGTTTTTCTCCTGGTTTATTACTTAGCATAATTTTTATGTCCATTCAGTCTTTACAAATACATAATGTAACATAATGTGCTGTGTACATGTTTGACAAGCTAAAAATTGCCATTAAGCTTAGCTAATTCAAAAGGTAGACAATTCAACTACATAATAGTTTCTTGTTTTGAGAAATCCTATCAGTGTGTGGTAGAAAGGAGAGTCGTGAAGAAGGGAGTCACTCCAGAACTTATCCAGTTCTGTACTTTTATTTTCCAGATGAAGAGATTGAGGTGCTCATTTTTAATTGATTTGTCTCTCTTCATAGAGCCAAACATAAAACCCATGTGCAGTAATCTGGGCCAGGACTGTGTTTCCTGTGCCGTGCAGTTCCCCCAAGTCTCCCCATTTCAGTGAAACATCCATTCTGCCATTTTTACTTTTCCTAGAAATCTGATGTAATATGGTACATATTGGCAAGCCTTAAATAATGATTTAGTTCTGTGATGGTGTCTTTGCATGTGGTATATATTCTGTTTTAGAAAGAATAAGCACAGATTTGCTTGGATTTCTCTGTAATTGACTTCCAAATAATACTTGCAGACCATGTGCCAGTGCATGCCCAAAGTAAATATGCTGATCACATCTTTGGTTGTTTATTATGGTCTTCTACTGCTGCTATACTAATACTTTTCCCATCTCCAACTGGCTTTACTTTTTGCAGCTTTGAGCAGTAATTCAGTCCCCTACGCCTCCCTGATTGGCTCTGTGTCCTCCCTCTCTAGCCAAACCACCACTCAGTCCATATATGATAATAACTCTCTCCCACGATTCGCTCGAAAAGGTCTAAACATCTTTGTCTCTATTATTTTCTTTGTTAAAGCACTGTAATGATGTCCACACCTGTCCATTCCATTCCCAAATAAGCCTTATGTCTCTTGTGCCTTTGCATTTCATTCTTTTTACTGGGGAGCGCCTCAGCTGGATGAGATCACTTTAATTATCAGGTCTCCGTCACCCACCCACTTCCACACAGAATGGAAACTAATTCAATTCTACCAGCTATACAGAAAAGTTTCAGAAAGAGCTCCAAATTTTGGTCCAAATATGTAGTTAAATCACCAATAAAGAGTTTCTCTTTCTAACCAACTCATTTTTATTGGCCCTCCATTAAAGTTTCAGCTAGCTAGACGCAGACTTCACAGCTATTGATACTAAACCAATACAACTCACAGTACTCTGCTAAGCAGTATCTTTAAGAAGAAAATATCTTTTTATTTACTTTGCCAAAACAGTTGATAATTTGGCATTTGAGATAAAGGAACTCATTTGATGAGGTCCAATTATGACACAATTTCTGAAAAGCCCATAAAGCAATTGCGTGTCATGTGGACTTGATGGTCGTCCCTCTGCAGTCTACACCATCCAAAAGGTTGCCCTGATAGCAGGGTTAACATGGCTTCCAGTTTGAGTTCCTCCCACTAAATGTTTCTACTTTAGAGGCTTCCCTGGGGGCATGCTAGTTCAGATTTCTCTAGCCAGCTGAAATTCATGTTTCTAAGATACGAGTCAGCAATGCTTTCTCATAATTATCTTGCAGAATTAATCAGAGTGAAACAATATGCAAATTCTATGGAAAGTGAGAAAGCAGAAAACACAGGAATTACCAAAACTAACAGTGGATTACTTTTTAACAACGTCTATGGAATCAATATATCTTCAGCTGGCCCACTGAACTATGATGTGTCAGCCCAATCTCTGCTTTCTTTTCCTCCTCCACCTTTGCCCCTTCCTTGTCCTTACACTGTGTGCTCACTCCCCTGAATTCATTTTTCATTAGTGGACAAAGATGCTTACACCTGAAGTAGATTGTAGGTTTACTAGGGGTTGAATGATGGGACCTAGTGGGAAATACCATAGGGTTGTTAATGTGGCCATTTGTAAATGTCCAGGAGTGGGCTGCAACCCCAACCTCTACAATCTGCTACTAGTGGAAACATTTTTGAAGTTGAGTTTGCTGTCTGGTGTGTTGTCAGTGATTATTGTCAGTGAACTGTGGTGCATGTCATTTTTTGTGTCCATGTTTGCATGTGAATGTCAGTCACCTATAGGTTTGTGAAATCTTAAAGCAGTCTTAACCTAGCCCACAATATATGGTGGATCCTGCAAAAACTTGACACAATTTTTACTGTCTTTTGAAAGTTCATCAGAATATCCATTTCATTGTTTTAAACAAATTCACTCCATCATTCACACCATCATTTTCCTTGCAGGTTCAGATGATTCCGGTTACGCCTGTAACCTTCATTCTTCCACTTAGTTTTCCTTGATTATTCATAAGTCATTTTATGTTTCCTATCAAGCTGCTACTCTTTTTCTTTTAGGCCTTTCTATGTGTCTGTTTTCTTAGTTCGCTTTATACCATTAAATTCCACACAATTTCCATTTCACACAGTGCAGGAGAAGGAGTTTGTGATGACATAATAGTCATTACTCAAAGCAGAAGTTGACATTAAGCCTGCCTTTCAGTTTTTCCACTAGCTAACCTCATTGATTCATACCACGGTAACATTTTCTTTTATACTAGGAAGAGTTAGTTTGGGGACTATGCTTGGTGATTTTTCTATTTGGCCACAAAAACCACCCCTCCAGAGCATGTCCTGCTTTGAGTAACCAAACTGTCTGCCTGCCTCCTCACCGAACACACCTCTACTACTCACATCCTTTCAGGCCATTCTAACTTCAGTATCCTCTGTATTTTGGAGGCCTTTAGGTCACTTTCATTGGTTTTCAAATGTATTTCTTCTTTCTTTTTTTACTAGGTATGGCTAGCCATCCCCCAATACCTATCTTGGAACTTGCCGATCACATTGAAAGACTGAAAGCAAATGACAACTTGAAGTTTTCCCAGGAATATGAGGTAATTCACTACACTGACCGCACTTCCAGTACTTACCTTGTACTGCACAGTACTTTTAGTTCTGATAGTTGACAGAACTTTCAGGAGTTGCTGCCCTCTTCTTCTTGATCATATTCTTGAAAGTTAACATCTGCTTTTTCATTTAAATATGACTCAAAATATGATACGAAAATGTCTAATGTGCACCAACTTAAAATGTTTATTGCATTTTTTTTTTTTTTTGTCTTTTTCCTTTTTATCGGTACCGGGGATCAAACTCATGACTGCCTGCTTGCAAGGCAGGCGCTTATGCCACTGAGCTAAATCTCCAGCCCCCTATTGCATTTCTTAATATTTTAATTGCATTTTTAGAGATGTTAGTTTATGTTTGTTCAGTGTTCCTTAATGAGATTGATTTATTATTTTGGCTTTTAGTTCATAAAAAAATTCTGAATTGGTGAGCTTCACAATACATAATATAGCCGCCAAATACATTAATTTATAGTGGGAATTGTCATTGAAAAAGAGATTACAGAAATAAGATTTCTCAATACTCTTTGTTTTACATGGCTCAAAAACTCTGTAATGAAAACACAGGCAGAACTTTATTTTTCAATCTAAAATTATACTAGCACTAATTTTAAGGTGGTACTGCATTTCAGAAAGTTGACTACTTCTGAAGAAGTGGAGAATTGAATACTGTCTTAAAATATCAGAATCTTAAAGGTTCTTTTTGAATTCTCGAAATGTTTCTGTTATGAAAATGAAGTATTTGTGTTATACGTGTGTGTATATGCATGTGTATATTTGAATATTGTGTAATTTTTGAAGCAGGAATTTGCCAAAACTGGATATTTCTGAAACAGGAAGCAATAGTGGAACCAGTTCTTTAATTATTGCTGACTTTATTCTGTTTAAGCATTCAGGAAGCCATCTCAGTTTTGAGAAATTCAAAACTAGATATGGTTCGTGTTATTTTCTCAAATGTTCTAATTTTATTTTTTTCTTCCTTTTCCTCTAGATCTTAGTTGGTCTTTGAAAATTATGTAATACCCTTTAGAACATTTTTGTAGTTCATAGTTTGAGGCTTGAAATTGCAAACTTAATTTTAACAGACAAGATGAGTGATGACTATCTTCTAGGGTAACAGTTAAATGTCAGTTTTCACCAACTAGAATTTTTACAACCCAAATCCAACATTTATTATTGTTACGATTCTTACTATTTTGCTGCATGATTTCTTGTCATGGCTCTGCTCTAAATCTTTTATTTGTGAATATGAGATAAAAATGTGACAACTCAATTGCTTATTACGCTGTTATCGCACCAGCAGTATAACTTTCTACCTTCATAATAATATGTGTTTGCATTACACAAATAATTTCAGATGTATACATCGAATGCAATAACTGGTCTCCTTTGAATATGGGATTTCTCAAGAAATTCTACATGGACAGCTTCTCTAATAACCCTCATTTAGCCATTAGATCACAAGTGCTCCTTAAAAATAGTTATGAACTACATGCTGGCAAGGCTTTCATTTAACAACTCCCCCAATAGCCTAAGCCATTGACATGATAGCCCACACTGGGTCTTCACCATTGGTCATGATGATGACCTGTGATTACAGCTCACTGGGCATGCACTGACTCTACTGTGCCTTAACAGCCATGAAGGAGATACTTAAATGCTATTCTCATTTGTGGTAATAAAATTAAGGCCTCTGTATACTATTTCAGAGCAACAATTTCAAGGATTTTTTCCTATTAACCTCCATATAAATGTGAATGCATTTTGATTGGTTTTTGGAGAAGAAAATGGAAAGAAGACTCATACTGTTTTCAAACACCTAATTATTTTGGCATAATCACGTAAATTAATGTTTGCTAGGACCATACAAGATGTATGAAGCCACGTTTGTCACTCTGGTTCTAAGACTGAAACTGAGGTTAAAAGCATGAAAACTGCTTGTACAGATCCTGAGGTCAAAATAGGGAAAGCAGATTTCCCTCAAAGCACAGAATAATTAGATTGTACAAGAGTTCTCCTTTATTACAAAGGCCATTGCACCGTATCACTGGGTTCAATGACAACTAGAAAAAGAGCCTGAGAAATTATTGTAACACCATCTCTGAAGATCTTTATAAACACTTTCGGTTTTCAGTTCTGACATGAGACTAAAATATTCCTACTAGAATTTAAGTGGTCACAGTTTATAGTGTGACTACTGCAGTGCAGAGAAGAAAGCTCCTCTCTACCCATAAGCTCATAGGACTGTCAAAGTCAATGCATTCGTTGGTGAAACTTCAGACTGAATCAGAATAATACTGCAGATCATGTTAAACAAAATCTTAGTGCTTCAGCATTACTTTAGAAGCCTACTTAAAATTCAAATTCCTGGTCTCAACTCCAGAAATGATGGTTCAGTATGTCAGTCATGGTTTTTAGGAGCCTCCATTTTAAAAGAACATTTTAGGAAAACACTCTGATTACTTCAATTGAAAAATGTCATTGTTTTAGGGTAATGTATTACACAACATGATCTTCATTTCATCATTTCCTGGCAAGTAGATTGCTGCATTTGAGATTCCATGGACAAGAAATCATCACAGTCATCATTAGCTAAACACACTCTATCTACTGTAGTTCAGATTGATTAAGGAACTGTAGCCATAGGACATCCTTAAGCTAAAGGAAAAGAGCTCTTAATTTATCATAAGGCGAGGGCTAAGAGTACAGGGAAACCTTAAGAGCCATCACCCAGATCTGGAAGGCTGTGTCATTTTCCTGACTTCTTCCTGGGAACTGGCGTCATGGTGGTTCTCTGTGCTGACTTCAGTCTTTCTGCTCTGCAGGCCAGCTGCTGTGTGACCCACCCACCCACAGAAAGCATGATTATTTATCATATTTTTATCTACATAGAGGTCCCTAAAGAAAGAGACTAGATTTTTATTGTTAATCAAATGCTGAATGACAGAGAACCCTGGATGGGGAAGGGAAAGCGTGTAATGTAAAGGGCTTCTGAGCTCAGAAGATGAACCAGTAATTATCCGCTGCACTACAGTGCAACAACAGTCCTGTGTTGAATGCAAAGAGAAATAGAAAAGATATTAAGAAACAATACTTCTAAGATGTCTAGTTGACCAAGACAAATATATACATACAAAAATAATCCAAAGTATGCCACGGAATAAATCCTAAAAGCTAATTGCATGTTTCTAGAATTTCCATGAATGTCAGCAGGCGATAGAGAACTAGAGAGGTATGGAAGGGAGGTGTTTATAAGTGCAGTCAAGAAGGGCAGTGAAAGCACACTGTGAAGGGAAGGTTCAGAGACGGCAGGGAAACGATGCTCTGGAAGTTTCATACTCCAGGTGGGGAGTACAAACCAGCACATCAACACCACTTAGTAATTTATAGAAATGCAGAATTTTAGGTCCTTCCCTTGACCTATGGATTTAGAATCTACATTTTAACAGTAATGCCCTGGTAGTTTTTGAACTAGAAGGATATGTGGAGAGGTGGTTCTTAGTAGACTTACGATGGAGCAAACTATTTATGAAAGAGTTGGGTGAAATTAAAGATAAGGAGAGCCAGAAATCATAAAGAGCTTCCAGTGCTATTCTCACTAATGTAAAGGTAAGTTTGCGGTGGCTTCATGGTGGAAAGGATATAGGGTTCAACCTAGACAGATTTGCATTGTGCTTTGCATTCTTTGTATGATTTATCTTTTCATGATTATTTAACTATAAATTTCTCCTTTGTAAAGAATTTTGCTGTGAAAATTAGACAGTATATGTGCACATGTGTATAAACACCACATGTGCACATATAGCAGGAGACCAAGTTAGAAGCCTGGACTTCTTGGTTAAGGAAAGGACTAAAAGCTTTGTTGTAAAGAGATGATTATGCTCATTTATGTTAAAGCTATCAGGTGTTCATAATAAGGTAAAAATTTATGTTTTAAGGTTCTTCGTATTCTCAAGAAATTTGCAAACATAAATGCCAACAAAAAATTACAAAATATAATTCTATGATAAACATGTTTTCATGGTCTGATAAGTGTAAGACAGAGTACATTGTATTGATTAGGTGGTTTCTTAGGGCATTAATATACTATCAGTGTATAAAATGGGGAAAGTAGAACCTGGGGAAAGGAAGAATGATGAGGGGAACAGAAAGTAGTTCTTTTTAGGCACGTGTATGTTCATTTCCTATATGAACAGCACTTTGAGAAGCACAGGTGTTCTGACTTTTGCATACTGTTGCAGCATTTCTTTGCTCTGTAAATGGTATGAAAACAACCTCAGTTATATACATTCTTCCCATTTTTCTAGACAAAATTGAATATGCTGTTTAGTAGATGCGTTTTCCTGTTCCTATTGGTCAAGACTCTTAACACGGGTATCCCAATGGTCATTCATTACCTGAAAACGCTACAAAGCTAGAGAAGTTGTAAAACTGGTGCCTAATTTGGTTGTCAAGACAGTTTCCCACAGAGATACTGAAGTAAATTCTCAAATCTGCGTCATGTAATTTTAGCTCTTCCACATTCCGTGGTCTTAGTTAAGGAAATAACCTGCTTTTAAAACAACCCACAACAAAGTTTATTCCAAGTTTCTGGCAGTCCCTTATAAGTTACTTTTTAAATCATGATTCCCCCTGCTGTGGTAGTTACACAGACATGGCCAGTTGTTAAACATTTGATTTCAGATTTATCAGTGCAAGTTCTCTTGTCCTGTAAACCGTATATAAAAGCTTCTCTGAGCAATCTTTTTGCTGCGATTGGAAAGAAATAACAAACTGTGTTTCATAGAAGTCCCACTTGAAGAACACCTTTGACCTATGTTTTCCTGTTGAAAATCCCCCCCACTTCCGTGCTGCTGTCTGTATGAATGGATTACCTTTGATCTCAGTGCTTACATGTGATCCAGCATTTTTCATCCAAAAGTGCTAAGACTCGTTTCCTACCTCTCTGGCGGCGTTCTTACAACTCCTGTCTCTGCTGACAGTAATGGGGT